AGTACCCTACCCAGTTCCCACTACTGCTTTTCAAAAGATAAATCTCACGTTTCTATTTTCACAATAATGACCTCCACCCTTATACTCCTCCAACCAGAATCTCCAATTATTCATAAGATATTTCCTCCTGGATATAAATCTGGCAACACAAGTTCAAAATGGCCAAATTATGTGTTATTTTTCCATTGAAATTTGTTTCTCCTTATTACTTCCTTATACTATCTATGGCACCACTGTGGCTGCCATGTTCATAGCCTTGTAGTTATCTTTGACTTTTCACCCTTTCTAATCCCTACATACCTTGTAGATGACAGGGTGGTTTAGAAGAAAAATCATTGGCTCTAAAGTCAGATGACATAGGTTCAGATCTGACCTCTGGAAATTACTGTTTTTTTAATTTTGGACCAATCTAATCCTTCAAGCCCCCCAGTTTCCTCCTCTGTAAAATAAGGTAGTTATCTTCTGAGGTTCCTTCCAAATCCAGATCTATGATTCTATCAATTGTCTCTTCACAACATCTTCTCTCTTTGACACCTTGTAGGAGACAGGGAATTCATAGAAGATTTTGTAGAGAAAGAATGGTGATCAAAGGCTCTCTCTTGGTTTCAAGCTGTAATAGTGACCCCTTCTCACTTCTAACTCAGGGCAGCCAAATGCTATGCAACAGCTTCCTGGTCAGGGATCACTAACTGTATCCTCTTATCTGTAACTGCCTAGAGATCTTTCAGGTGCTCCTTACCTTTGTTCCAGCTGTTCCCTTTGGCTAGAATGCCCCATCCTCCTCCATTTTGTTTTTGAATTCCTTTTCATTCTTTAAAATACAATTTAAATACCACCACTTCCAAAAAGCCTTCTCTCATCTCTCATCCCAAAAACTGGTAATAACTTTCCTCTCAGGCCTCACAAACAGGCTTTTATTATCTATTTATTTTGGAAAAGCTTTAGTATGCTTTGTTCTAAGCCAAAAATACAATCATAGATTTAGAACTGAAAAGGATCTTAGAGGTCATTTGCTTCATTCCTTTCCTTTTTTTGGTTTGGTGGTTGCTGTCCTTCATACTCAAAGAGGACCAAAATGACCTCATGATGTTGGGTCAATGTACAGTGTGTCTCACTATGTAAGTTAAGAGATGAAAGAAGAATTTATTTGTGATCTTTATCACTGTTTTTTTTTAATCATCTCTAGCTAAAGTCTATAAAACATAGTTGGGAATGAATGCTATAGGAGGAAATTAATTTCATGAGAACAAAGTCATGTGCAGCAATCTAGCTGTTACATAGTCTGATGTTTGGGGGAGTTAGTGCCTTTGGGGCTTAAATATGAGGTAAGATCATCAGCAACCATGGAATTAGTACAGTATTTAAAAAAAATAGAAAAGCCATGCTACAGTTGGGACTCATAATATTTTGGACATTGTTTAAATACATCATTAAATCATTGTGATACAGGGCTGGTGTGGGCAATATTATTTGAGGTATTTAGTAAAGATACAATTTGGTATGCTAGAATAGCCACCATTAAAAAATAACTCTATAATCCCACACTCTCAGCTTCTTAAGAGCTTACAGTCTCTGTTTTTCCACCGCAATAAATGGCAAGGGTACTTAGGTTAGGAAACCTTTCTGTAGTTCTGTCAAAGTTGTGGATAATGAATGTTATATTCATAAGTATGATTTTCTCCTGTTGTGCTAGCATCTTCCATACACCATAATAATTCATGGCTTATTTAGGACTCATTAGACACTAAAATTATTAAAACAAATTATTTAGGAAACACTAACATTTGCAATGATGTATTCAGTACATATTCATTTTCCCCTGTCACTTTTAAATTCAGTACTTTGCTTTTCAAATAAACTGTTTGTACATCAGATACTTTAATTTCAAAGATATTTATGAATGTGAAAGTATAATATATATTCCAAAAAGCCATTTGGAAATTTTTTTTTCCCAAGGAAAAATAATGGATAACTCCACTGGGGAAAAAAAAAAGACTGCTTCTATAATAGAACCAAAATTATCTTTCTTTGTGTGTATAAGGTTCTTCTCAAACATTTGTTAAATTTAGAAACAATTTAATGGTCAGAGTGAGCATGCCACACTGTTACCAAGTTGAAGTTGGTGACATGATCTTGAGTAAAAGATATATTGGGAAAATGATATTATGAAACGGGACTAATTCTTGTCTCTGTTGGAGGCAGAATTTGAAAGATACTACTAACGTTTGGCTCCACTACTCTTTGGCCAATTGAATGATATACTTCCTGATGAATTGATTATATTTATTACCACCTATTCTTGTATCATCTCTGTAATAGGGGGCAATGGTGCATATATGGAACAGTTATCCTACTGTATCATCATAGATGTCTTAGAATCACTTTAAAAACTCACACCCATTTGACACAATGGACCTAGTGAAATGAACAATTCCGTGCTAAAATGAGTTTATGTTTGGAAGGAAATTAATTTCACATAATGTCAGAACTAAGACTTTTGAGACTGTTCCACCACCACCCCCATCTTCCAAATGAGGAAACTGAGGCAAAAGGAGACAATCATTTAACTAGGATCACGTTGAGATCTCTCTCAGTGTTTCTTCATCAATTTGTGAGCAAGGAGAGAGGATGAAGCATAAAGAGTAGTCCAAAATGTTTTTTTCTGCTTTCAATCTATTTATTTTTTTCTGTTAGCAAAGAGTAAGGGGGGAAAGTTGGGCTGTAGGTTTCTAAAGGTTACACTTGAAATTCTAGGATTTAATTTAATTATCAGAGTCAACACACTTTGCAAAATAACCATTGACTTTCTATGTGACTTTTGGAAAATTATTTAACATTGTGATTCAATTTCTCTGGTGTTACGTTTGCACTTGTGATATGAAAAAAAAATCTGTTTGTTTGTTTTTGAGAAGGGGACACTAACCTTCCTTACAACAGGCCCTTTTCCAACCTGATGCCTGCCTCCCCACTTTCAATAAATACCTTCTATATCAGGAATCTTCAATGAATGCAGTCTCCTATGCTAAAAAAAAAATACATCAGGTTCAGAATCATATACCAGACAATCATAGTCCATCAAACATTTAATAAAAACAGGTTTACTTAGAGCATGGGAAGGGGCATTCATTAAGTATGCAGTTGATACAGTATTTCATGCAAGTCTTTCCATGTTTTTCTAAGATCATTGAGTTCATCATTTCTTACAGCACAGTGGTATCTCATAACAATCATATACCACAACCTGTTCAGCCATTCCTCAATTGATGAGCATCCCTGCAATTGAGTAGAATGATTTCCTGCTTTGGTGTTGGACATTTTGCTGGTCTGAGGTTTGAAGCCTCAGAGAAGAGTCCTAGCCCCTCTTGTCTTGGCTGTTTTTCTAGTTAGGGAACCAGATAACGATATTAAGGAACAAAATCCTAGACCTCTAAAAGAATTAAATCCTGAGTTTCAATAACTTCTCAGAAAAAAAAATGAATCTAACTTGCTCTTTTGTGGGGCCTTAGTATATCGCCATCATCATACCAACACCCACATAGATGCCAATCATTATTCTTACTCTGCACTTCTGTCTTTGTCATTACCTTGCTCATGAAGCTTCAGTGGGTCACTATTGTTACTAAGATAAAACTGTCATTTAAAACCCTTCACAGTCTATCCCAATCTCCCTTTCCAAACTTAGTTCACATCATTGTCTCTCAGTTAGCCTGATTTCTAGTCAAGCTATCACACTTCCTGTATAGGAACATTCCATGGATTACTTTTGTGATTTTTTCATAAAGTCTGGAAGGCTATCCCTCTTCTCTGTCACTTTTTGGAATTCCAATTTCCATTCAAGAGTCATGTCAAATGCCACCCCTTCCAAGAGGCTTTTCCTGATGCTGCCAATTGTCAGTGTCCCTGCCATTTTGTTTTTCATGTCCTCTGTATCTCTTTGTTTACTTATCAATGAACATGTTCCTCTTCCCTAGTAAAATTCTAGTATCTAGTGGGCAGGGACAGTTTCATTTTTTTTGCCTTTTGTATCCACAAAGCCAAGTATAGTGCCTGGCACATTATGAAGTACTTAATAAAAGCTTATTAAATTAAATTGAATTGTGTCATTCCCTTGGTTTATGGACTCTCTCTACCAGTGCAGTTTATGCCCCATCTATGACTCAGCAGATTTGTTCTAGGAAATTGCCATAGAGGTTAAGTTATTTGCCCATCCTCTTACAGCTATTGCAATAATAAGTTATATTTGTAAAAAAAAAAAAAATGTGGTCACATGACCCTACAAAGATCAAAAGTTTATTAATCCACACATATGATTTAGAGCTTCTTAGCATCAAACATATAGGGAGGGAAGGAATGGGTCCCTTTTCTTAAATCATATCATCACAGCATTGCAACTAGAAACTACCATATTAGTATATTAATGAAGTTCTTTTGAGGTCTGAGCATTTGCTGTGGGGGGAAGAGAAGGGAGAATGAGAGGTATCATCTATGAAGAAGAATAATAATGAATTTGCATCTATAATGGTAGTAACATGCTGGTATAATCTTTCTGCTTAGGGCTAAACATGCAAAAGAATATCTAAGTGACAGAGTGAAAATGAAACAATTAATGTTCTGGGATAGCAAATGCTGTCCTGTTTAACATCATTTGTCTGTCATTAGCTCTTTTACTTTATCAGTGATGACCATCTTTAGTTGTCCCCGAATTTTTAATTCTTAAACACCTGTCTTACTATTCAACAATGCCAGGAAACCACTGTTCCCAAGGTGATGGAATAAAGATATTGTGGGGATAAAGATGCATTCTGACTTCTCTGAGAAGAAGGTTGAGGTAATAAATAGTGAGCCAAGAAAGGAATGGATAGATTTCTGTAATTCCAAAAAATTTAAAAATTTAAAAAATGAGGAAAGGGGAGAGTACATAGAAAGGGGTAGTTTTAAGATAGGAGATATTAAGAAAAGCTATAAATAAATTACCTCCTTTCTTCTTGTTTTCTTGCCAGGAATACCAAATTGACATATTTTTTGCTCAGACTTGGACAGACAGTCGCCTTAGATTCAACAGCACAATGAAAATATTAACTCTGAACAGCAATATGGTTGGATTAATCTGGATTCCAGATACCATCTTCCGGAACTCAAAAACTGCAGAAGCTCACTGGATTACAACACCCAACCAACTCCTTAGAATATGGAATGATGGGAAAATCTTGTATACTTTAAGGTAAGGGTATGTCTTTTCATTTGGTAGCACTGGGAATAAAAGTTTCTTAGATCATCACTCATTTTATTTTGGGTTACTAAATTAGAATATAGTAGTACCTCTACTCTACAATTTCATCACTTTTGCATACTTTACATGAATTTGCATGGTAATATTCCAGTGGTCCCAATGCAAAGTATGCAGTAAGAAAGCTAGAAGTCCAAACAAATGATCTTCAAACTTGTTACCTCGCTCATATACTACTAAATTTGTAAAAACAGAACTTTAAAAAAATATTTAGAATGATGTATTTTGGAAGGTATGGTGTGGGGGATGATGACTTGAAATGAGAGAGAGAGAGACAGAGACAGAGACAGAGAGAGATTGAAACTCTTGCCATTTTATTTTCTTGTTAGTTTCCTTTTTAATGGTACTGGTTATCTAGATAAAAGTGATAAGACTATGGAAAACCGAACCAAAAACTTTAAAGATTCCTAGTTTTATTCATTTAATATAGGAAAATAAAGATGTGTAAAGTGTTACAGGATTGAGGGAATTTAGAGATCATCTAACCCTAGCCTTTTATTTTACACATAAATAAAATGAACCTAGAATCTAACTGGAAGAATGCCTGCCAGGTGTGCCTAAGTATTGGCACATAATAGGAAATTAGCTCAATAAAGCAAAGACAGACCAAATAAACTGGATCATAACTCTTCTTTGAATCTCAAAAAAGTGTTCTCTTTAAAATTATATATGTATATATGTGTGTATATATGTGTATACATGTATATATGTGTATATATGTGCATATATGTATATATGTATATATGTGTGTATGTGTATATATACATATATGTAGAGAGAGAGAGGCATGCATATATGTATATATGCTTCATTTTCACTTCTTGTGTGAACATTCACATCTTTTGTATAAACACACATAAATACAACAAAAACACAACAACCCACCCAAAATGGAAGTGATATTATTTTACTAAGTCTAATTTATATGCAAACTATAGTGTAGTACTATTCAGTTATTTTATCTGAAGATAGTAACAAAGGCTTACCAAAACAACATATACATAACCCCTTTAA